ACGCCCTGACCCGCGACAACGTCGCGGCGTTGCGACGCCCACAGCGGGCGATTTAGGTCAGGGCGGTTCGCGGGTACCGCACCGTCTCGTTCGAGGCGGCGTGCGTGCTCGCCGGGACGCCTCCCTGGGACTTGGAGGCGGAGGCGCTCGCTGCGGATTACGCGTGGCGATGCGATCTCCGCTCCAGGGGGGAGCCGCGTCCCGGCGCGGCGGAAGTTCGAGCGCGGAAGCTTCAATCTCGGCGTGCCGTGCTCGAGGCGTGGTCTCGACGCCTGGCGGACCCCGCCTACGGGCGACGGACCGTCGAGGCGATCCGCCCGGTCCTCTCGGGCTGGGTGAATCGCGACCGAGGACGTCTCACCTTCCGAGCGACGCAGGTGTTCACGGGACACGGCTGTCGGTCGCTACCTGCACCTCGTCGCCCGGAGGGAGCCGACGCCGAAGTGCCACCACTGCAGTGGTTGCAACGAGGACACAGCGGAGCACACGCTCGCGTGCTGCCCCGCTTTCGCGGAGCAGCGCCGCGTCCTCGATGCAAAAATAGGACCGGACTTGTCGCTTCCCACCGTCGTGGCTACGATGCTCAGCAGCGTCGAGTCCTGACAGGCGATGCTCGACTTCTGCGAGTCCACCATCTCGCAGAAGGAGGCGGCGGAATGGGAGAGGGAGAGCTCTTCTTCCCTCTCGGCGCCGTGCCGCCGCCGCTGATCCGGGGGCCGGAGGAGGGCGTTTGTCCAGCTCCGGTCCCTATGAGGAGGCAGTCTCTTCCCGGTGATGGTCAAGGGGCGACCTAAGGGGGTTGAGGCTGCGCCGCACGCTACCGTTACTCTAGCGCTCTGGCACCAGGAGGACGGGACGACGCGTCGGCGGTTGCGGACTGCGATGCGGTTCGCGTTTTCGTCGTCGCTGTCGTCGCCGAACATACTGTGGAAGAGCAACCCGGTCGGCGGTGTATCGCGTTCCGACCCGGCAGGCTGGTTCTGGCTCAGTGGGGTGTCCCGGAACACCAGCGGCATTGCCCGGGCGGCCTGGTAGGGCCGCCGTACCGCGGAGACCGACGTCGTTGGTCGTCGACTATCGCCTCGACGACCTGTCGGTCGGGCGTCCTCGGGGTGGCGCCGCGTGTCTGGTTGTAGTGTTGACCGCGGGAACCCCCCTACTCTGACCGGGTTCTGACCCCGGACGGAGATCGGACATCGCGTGTAAGAGTGCAGGGGAGTCGTTTAGTGGGTGGGCCCTAAAATTCCTTGGGCCCGCGGTCTGCTCTCAACACCTGCAGATCGTTGAGTCTCACATACCCCGCGCGCCCCTTATGCGCGGGGACCTCGTAGGAGGTTCGGCCCCCGGCCCGAAAAAAAAAAAGGTAATATGTTACTGCCATCTACAGGACCAATGAGAAACTAATCGAAGCGAAGTCATCTAGTAGCCGACGCCCGTAAACATTTTTGTTGAATGCTTATGTGTATTATCGATGATTGCCGATATATTATATTATGTACGGTCACAAATGTTGGAAAAATCATCGAAAAATTTGACCTCCAGATTAGACTACGTTCGAGCCAGCGTGGCGGTCATACTTAAATTATAAGGACAAAAGATTATATTTCGAACAAAATTAATATCATCCAAGTCAAATACATGAATAGACGTCATGTCAATTTAAAATAAATCATCTGTGTGTAATTCCACTTTAATGTTATATATCTCTACTAGCGGATCCGACAGACGTTGTCCTGTAAATGCATACACAAAAATTCATTCAAGTCGATGCAGCCGTTTAGTTGCAGTACAGATAAATAGCTTAGATACCGACTGCAGCGCCGTCTGCCGGGCTGATTTGTGAATCTAAACCATCCAGGTTGCCATCCAAACGCATACAAAAAAAATACTGGTGGTAGGACCTCTTGTGAGTCCGAACGGGTAGGTACCACAACCCCGCCTATTTCTGCCGTGAAGCAGTAATGCGTTTCGGTTTGAAGGGTGGAGTAGCCGTTGTAACTATACTGAGATCTTAACTTAAATCTCAAGGTGGGTGGCGCATTTACGTTGTAGATGTCTATGGGCTCCAGTAACCACTTAACATCAGGTGGGCTGTGAGATAGTCCACAAACCTAAGCAATAAAAAAAATTCATTAAAATCGGTCCAGGCGTTTAGGAGGAGTTCAGTGACATACACACGTACAGTAGAACTTTATATATATATAAAAAACACCCTCTATTATCATATTACTTTCAGATATCGGTTTTCATATTATGATAAATTTGGGACATGAGATCGAAGTCTCAATTAACTATATTGTGTAACGAATGTCCTAAATATATCTTATGGCCTTCGTTAGCTGATGCCCTACCTGATGCTGATTATTGTCGTTCATGGACGTCAGCATCGTCAGAGGCAAAACTAAAGTTATTAGCTGAAGAATCTCCTGCTTGCTTAAAGAAGAACACGTCTTCTTCACACATCACCGTCGTCACATCATCATTCTCCTGCCCCGCTCCCAGTCACCTAGGGTCGGCGCAACATGTTTTCTCCTTCCATACTCCTCTATCATACACCATCTCTCCGTTCACTACCCTCTTACACATATCGTCTTTCACGCAATCCATCTATCTTATCTCAGGTCTACCTCTTCCTCTATCAGACATCAGATTTCTTTTTGTTATGTATCTATTAACTTTATTGTATTAGTTACTGTTTAGTTTAGTTATCAATAAAACAGTTTTGGAGATAGACTGTCTTCTTTCACTTTTACAAATAAAAACAAATAAATTTCAAAAAAAACGGTGGTTTTTTTATTGCATAGATGAGTGGAAGCTCACAGCCTATCTGTTGTTAAGTGGTTACCGGAGCCCATAGACATCTACAACGTAAATGTGCCAACCACCTTGAGATATGAGTTCTAAGGTCTCAGTATAGTTACAACGGCTGCCCCACCCTTCAAACCGAAACGCATTACTGCTTCACGGCAGAAATAGGCAGGGCGGTGGTATCGACCCGTGCGGACTCACAAGAGGTCCTACCGGCAGTAAAATTTAAGATTTGGGTGCAGAGTATTCTATTTAAAAGGTAAGACATATAAACGCGATGTAATTGAAAAATAATGTTTATTTCAACAAAATATATTACAAAATAAATAACATTCAAACACACTTATATTTATTACTAGCCTTACCGTTGTTAGGAATTATTTATTATATTAAATAAAAATCACATAATTTCATTCGTAAAATGTACACTTCTATGTTATTATAAAGTTGAGCTCACAACTATAAGGAAGTATGCTGTAAGGATGTATGCGGCCCGATGCTCTCTGTAGCTAAAAGCTACAAAGTGTAACGCATACTAATGAAAAACCTCACGCATTTGAGGTTTGAAGTACTCTTGATTTAATACTAAGTCCGAGCGAGCTATACCGCCAGATAGTAGGTCCTTTTTTTTACTGCTTAGATGGGTGGCCGAGATCGCAGCCCACCTGGTGTTAGTGGTTATCGGAGCCCATAGATATCTACAACGTAAATGCCGCCACCCACCTTGGGATATGAGTTATAATATTTCAGTATAGTTACAACGGCTGCCCCGCCATTCAAACCGAAACCGGCAGAAATAGGCAGTGTGGTGGTTGGTACCTACCCGTGCGGACTCACAAGAGGTCCTACTACCAGTAAAGAAAAGTCCCTAAAGACGCAAAGCCGACGCTACCCGCTACTAAATTCTCTTTGGTCGTGAATACTTCACCCTCAAACTAGAACACATAACTGGTCTATATTTAAATTTATAACTAAAAAAAAATAATTCAAAAATCTAATATTCTAGATAAAAACTATCAAAAAGCACCTCTTTGTGTGATTCTTGCTTTTTTAAGTGTCTTTTTTTTTAAATAAATATACGAAGGAATGTTATACAACTTATTTGTAAAAAATCGAAAATGTTAAATATTATTATAAATCTAAATAATTTCCGAAAATTAAAATGATATTGCACTTGTAATCCTACCTTGGGAAATAAAATTTCATTTTAAAATGTCCTTTCGCCTTACGTTATGTAAAATAATGTTTGAAAAATATATTTTAAAACGCCAGCTTCACTGGTGGCCCTTATTAAATTTTATAATATAAATATCGACATTATTGACTATATTGTGCAGACAATAAATATGTATTAACTCATTTATACAAGGATTTATTCAAGATCTACACAGCGTGAAACGATAGGCATATGCTCATTTTTTATATCATCTGTGCATTTTTCAGTCAGTCACGATTTTGGCGCCTTTATTATAATTTTCAAATATTTATCAAATTAGGTATTATTGTCGGACTAAAAATAAAACATAAGCTTCAGTTCCACGAGCCGACTTATTATTTGTTCCGAGCGTGGAAAAAGGAGGACTAGATATCATCGTGTTTTATAAAAATTATCAATTTATCTAGCCGGTATCAAATAAGTCAGCCAATTACGAAAACCGATTAATACGATTTTCTAAACAATCAAAAACATTAATTAATGTTATTTTTGATTGTTTACAATGAATTTTATGAGCTGGGAATGCCACGGTTTTTTCGCGGGCTATTTCTTATGACATTTTGTTTTTTGACAGACTGAAATGTATGTATAGAATGTAATTCTTTTATTTTTGTATTTGTTTTTTAAAATTTTCAAAGTCCTAAAAATTTTTGTCACTAAGAAATAACGGCAACCGTTTAAAACGAAAAGTCGCTGCATGAAGCCCTTAAATATTATAATATATAATATTATTTATTATTTTTCTCTAAATTAAAGTCTTCAATAAACAAACTCGATAATTAAATACGACTAAAACTGAAAGACATTTTTTTAAATTACAACTACATTTCAATAAAGTACAATATAAATAAAAATTGGTTTGGGTGCAACTTGGTGCACGTGAAAGAAGTGAAACTTCTTTTGCGGTGTGTAGTATTGTGGTTTTCTTTATTTTACATCCTTAAATCAAATTTCTCTTATAATATGGAATGCTGTGTATAAGAGAAACGATTCTCATCTCTCTTCATCATTTATATATATTTTAATTTATATTTTTTGTAATACTTCTTTAAAAATAAAATATAAGATAGTTAGTTGCCATCTACAGGAACAATGAAAAGTTAACAACAAGCCATCTAGTGGCCGTCGCCCGCGAACAGAAGTTGTATAAAAGAAAGACCTAGCTTGCTTTCTCCCTCTCTCTAAGGTCGAATGGTTCGCGAGACGCTTTGTATATTTTCTCACTCTCGCTCTTCTTAAATTGTATCTTTTCTCTCTAGCCGTAACGAATCTGTCGCGAGGTAAAGTTTACCCTCAACGCGCCTAAAGAAGTTTCACTACAAAAAATTAGTATTTCTCTAAATCAGAGTATCATTTAAAATACTAACTTAATTATTGATTAAGACACATTGAGCTAAGAAAGTTGCGCTTCCAAAATTATAAGTAAGTTTCAGAAACTTCATCTGGTTTACATCTTCTCGGATTTCGATGGCGAAGTTCTGGGAACAAAAAAAAACGTGGTTTAAAGGAATTTTCTTATTGTATTTTATTTATTATTATCTCGATTTGAAAGAGGTCATAGTCATATAAGTGTCACGCTGCTACTTGACATTATTAAGTCTAGTTTGAAGAGGGACATGTCGTGGCTCTCTGGGAATACCCCAAAGGGAGCTTATTCTTGGGTTTCAACGTACGTCGAAGGACAAATCGCTCAAGACGCATTGTATCAACGCCATGACATGTCCTGCTTCAAAAGAGGTTTGCGGAGAATATTCAGCGGTAGGCAACGGCAGGCAGCGACGGTAACCACTCATCACCAGGTCTCCTTATCCTAAGAATTCAGAAGTGGCAAAGACCTCGCTACTATGTCACACTTCGAATCATACGACAGGCGCCGATTTTTTAGAACGAAGTCCCTTAATGCCGCTTGTGGTAGAAATCGTCACGTAACCAAATTAAAAACGTTACGCAAAATATGACTTTGTCTGTCTCTTTCGTGTTTATATGTCGTGCGTTTCCGTTCCGAGATTCCAGCGGGCATGTATGTATAATGGCTGCCGGCTGTATATCCCAAATATTTTATTTGGCAGTGCTTGATTTAATTAAACTGCATTATCATTAAGTATGAAGTTTTTGGAAAAGAAAACGAAGAATTTTCCGGAAATATTAATCACACGTTCTTTTGTTTTTTTTTGGAACGAAGTTCCTTATCGCGCGTTGTGAAAGGGGGCTAGACGGAAAAAATTCTTACGAAAAGTTGTCACGACACTTTTTAGATCCGTCATTCTGACCAATCAACGTGTAGGCGCTTATCGCGTGACATTGCTCGTATCCGATTGGTCCGCGTAATGAGTACAGTTTCTCGAGATAGCGTTTCAACAATAGTAATTTAGTTCATAGTATTGTTTTTTTTCTTCATAATGCCGTAATTTATTATTATAGCTTAAAAAATAAATTACAATTCCTTCACTAATTAATCGAAAGGAACTTCGTTCCATCCGGGTGTCCCTTGACACCTCTGAAGTTTTTTTCTATTTGCATCGCGCAGAAACTAGTTGGAATTATGATAAAAATACTCCCGAAATATTTCCACAAGATTAAATTGTTATCAAATCGTAAAGTACATATATTTAGATAGTGTTAGCGATACTGGAGTATAATTTTATCAGCTATCTCAAGTATTAACTTGAGATCAAAACTACCGATAAAAAATTGTACGTTTATCGGTAGTTTTGATGTGTATCGTTTCCAATCATGATGTTACATCTCTGTTACCAAATTTAATACATATCGACGATTGAAAGGCAAACGTGACTAAGCGACAATAACTGCTTTGTACATAAATGATAGGCAATAACCATATTCGATGCGCAGAAAATGTCGCTTAGTCACATTTGCCTTTCAAGCGTCGATATGTTGTACATTAACAATGACAATTCGATATCGTATCGATTTGAGTTGTTATCTCCCAATGTTTTTTTACTTATTGTTGTTATGATTGATTTGATTTTGATAAGTTTAACAAGATATTCGTGGCTTTGTGTATTTGTTAAATTTCATGTTTCAATTAAGAAATTGTTTTTTTTTTATTGACCGCAGTTCCGGAGCTTTTAAGCTCATACGAATATAAATATAGATTAATGTAGATTGATCTATTGGCTGTTCTGCATGACTGCTTGGGGGTTATGACCCTTTGAGCAGTCGCATTAAGGTTGTATTTACGATCTACTCACTTCCCAGCCAGCATTTCCTGGATCTCCTGGAAGCTCTTGCCCTTCGTCTCCGGCACCATGAAGAATGTGAAGAAGAACGCTATTATACAGCAAACTCCGAAGATGAGGAACGCCACGCCCATACCGACTGCATCAGCTATCGGGTTGAAATATCTGCGCAAAGAAAGCATATCACACTGACAATGACACTGAGAATACCAAGGGTTAGGTAGGAAAGACATGTCGTAACCTCCAAGAAGCAACGTGGAAGCGAGCTCCTAACAGAGCCGGAGAAATCATCTCTGATAACGCACTTTTTCTTCTTTACTCTTTATACTTTATATATTCTTTATTTATTTTTGAAGCTCACCTAGTGACCAAGAAGGACAGCATCCAGCAGAAGGCAGTGGCTATCGGAGAAGCCAACGCCTTCACCTCAATCGGGAAGAGTTCTCCCATGATAGCCCACGGCAGAGGACCCAGACCCACGCAGTACGTCACGATGAACAGCACTAGGGCTAGGATAGGCAAGAACCTCATGCTGTCAACTACTGGATTGCCATTGGTGTCCAATATAAAGTACATGCCAAGGAGTCCCTGAGGATAAATATACACAGGTTTATAACATTGGGCTACGCCAATATATCGTGCTAAGTCTTCGGGGGCAAGTGGTGGAGAACCTTTCTTTCAATTGAGTTCTCTTAAGATAGATGTCACTAGTATATATATTCAGATTACACAATGGCGGATCTCCTTTAGTAGAGAACTATCATGACATGTTTCACACAGAATACAGGTGTCCGATACTTACGAGTCCAATAGTTGTTCCGGTGCAGGAGATGAGGAGCAGCATCCTGCGGCCGAGTCGGTCCACCACCAGGGGCGTGACTGCTGAAGCACCGACCTGTGACATTTCTCGATTGAATATATTCACATGACAACAGAGTCAAAACGGCAATAAAAAGATCACTAGGAGCGCACTGCCGATAAACGCGGCGGCTTTAGATAGTACAAACGAAGACTACCCCGGTGGCGCAAGGTGTGGTGGTAAAAAGGAAATTTGAGTCCGCGCGGGTAGGTACCACCACCCCGCCTATTTCTGCCGTGAAGCAGTAATGCGTTTCGGTTTGAAGGGTGGGGCAACCGTTGTAACCATACTGAGACCTTAGAATATATTATATCTCAAGGTGGGTGGCGCATTTACGTTGCAGATGTTTATGGGGTCCAGTAACCACTTAACACCAGCTGTTGAGCTCGTCGAAGTCCCTCCGTATACCCAGAGGTACCAAACGTTCTGTGAGAACGGGATTATCGACAATCCGAACTGCCCTCTTCTGATGAGGTCAAATGGAAGTAGCTGGTACTTGGGCCAATAAATAGGAGCATTGGATGGGACCTGTGCTTTGTAAAGCAGAAGTTTTTGTTCAGGCGTGAAGGCTGTTGAGGTCTACCAACATTTTAAAGGTCAATTTGGCTTTACCTTCCAATCGACTCCGATCCTGAACATCTAATTTTTTAATAACGGTTCATTATCAATCTGTTTTGTTAACGTAGAAACTGGTTTGATTTTTCTTGTACCTATGTCTAACATTTGGTTATATGGTAACATTTGTTTCCGAAATAAGTCAATAAAATCATTACTTTAGCACAGTTTCGGTTTCACCACTGAGCGAAATCAGCAAGGAACCCAATTTACTCTTTTACAAAATAGCGGTACATCACTAGGTATACCTTAAGGCCATCGTTGAAGGTTTACAGGAGTCTATAGATCCCACAACTTGAATGCCATTACATGTGGTCGGAGTCTCAATTATATTTTAGAACGCCTGTTCAACTTTGAACCTTCAAACTTGAAGTCCTCAAGACTTCATGGCAAGAATAGGGAGGATTGTTGTACCTATGTATTAACGAAAGCATCGTATATTCCCTACTATTAAAAAGAGAACATATTAGATGAAATTGTATGATGTGATCAACGATCTTACAGACCTGCACGGCACCGATAATGATTGTCGCGATGGCCGAGTCCAGACTGGCCCCAGCCGTTTCGAAGATGGTCGCCATGTAGAACAGCACTGCGTTGATGCCGCAGAGCTGCTGGGCGGCCACGAGGGCGCACGAGATGTAGAACGCCTTGAAGTTGGCGCCGCGGAACACGTCCGATAACTGGACAATTGTAATCACAGTGTCATGTTGCTGTACATGGACAGACAAACCACAATAGGTATATCCGCTGTGATAGGTTACCGGTCCCAGAGAAACATAAGCACCGTCATCCATTATGAGATATGAAATCGAAGTTTTGAAGTTTTAACTGGTTTTAATTACACAAAATTCAAAGTATTCTGTATCCATTTTGATGTATTTGATGCATCAACTTACAATATAAGTGTTGGCAAAAAGTCTGGTATATGCTCCTAAGTAGTGGTGTCATTTTACAAAACGGTGGACTCTCTTTAAAATTACTCTAACTTTTTCAAAGACCAGAGACTTGCATCAGAAACAAGCAGAGCAGTGGCATTCACGGGGTCTACCAGAATGTCATCAGATGCGTAAGCTTTGTTATGTATCCTGTCAACTTTATAAGTATACTAGCTGTACCCGTCCGCTTCACTGGGCATTTAAAATTAACATTATTATTTCTCACTCCCACAAAGATTCTCATCATTAACGGCCCCGCAACTGGTGCAGGGAATCCAACACTCATATAAATATTAGCCTATCCGTTAAGTACATGTATTTTCTACATGGATACCAAGTTTCAAGTCAATCGGATGCATGGTTCAGTAGTTATAACGGAACATCCGTAAAAGCCACTGTAGATTTATATATTATTATAGATAGCTTAGAGTACATAATCTTACGTTAGCAGTTTTCTCGTTTGCAGCTTTGACTTCAGCGGCCATCTTGTCTAACTCAGCCTGCACACCAGCGCGAGATTTTCCTCTGATGATCTGCAGACATTTAGCAGCCGAGTCTACGTCGTCTGCACGAACAAAACAAATCTATTGGTAACTTTTTGCTGTATTGCTCAATTTGAAAAAAAACTTACGACCTATCTTACTGGTGGTAGGACCTCTGGTGAGTCCGCACGGGTAGGTACCACCACCCGCCTATTTCTGCCGTGAAGCAGTAATGCGTTTCGGTTTGAAGGGCGGGGCAGCCGTTGTAACTATACTCATATATCTCAAGGTGGGTGGCGCATTTACGTTGTAGATGTCCATGGGCTCCAGTAACCACTTAACACCAGGTGGACTGTGAGCTCGTCCACTCATATAAGCTATAAAAAAAATCTGATAAAATGTGGGAATTAAGTTACCGATTATGTGCATCAGAAAATAGGCACATTCACATAATGCCTATCTTAAATTTACATTCCCTGGATGCCATGGAAATGGCAACTTTAGATGTTACGAAGATTTTTTAATTCATCGTGCGATATCATAATAGAGAGATTTGGGCCGAGATTAGGATCCTAAGTTCTGAAGACAGCAAGCGGGTTGATGCCTTCGAGACATCGTGCTGCAGGAAGTTGCGATGTATCCCAATGGATGCATTACGGAACAATGCACCAATCCTCGCGTAGGTCCAAACCAAAACGAAGATTTCTAGCGTCTTTTTTTTCCTACCTATGCTGATAGCCTTGAGAGGCTAAATCAGCTTCGCCCTAACGTGTAGGTGAGCTCACGGGGCTCAAACCGGAGTGGTGCTAACACTGGCACTAGCAGGAGCAGTGCTTCCCAGACTCTACTATCGGATCGGAAACGCGACCCACTGAGAAGATCCGGCGAGAAACTCAGTGGGCTGTGTGTAAGGGTTAATACGCTTGTCGAGCCCTTCGTCGCAAGCTACGGGTTCGACGAGGATGGTGTCCGGTGCTTGTGGTCTAGCATCTGTCTTAAGCGTATGTTAGAGGACTTCTGACATATTGACAGGAAAAACTGAGACAATCTTCACGGTGGATAATGCCAAAGTGGAAAGAAAAAGATCCGTCGACTTTTGATTCCACCGTCTATGATGCTCTCCGAGCAGTCTCCGAGCGAAGCATACCATGAGAATGAAAGTGATGGGTGGAGATAGTCACTCTCAGACACGAGGAGCACGACTGTATAAGGATCATCATATAATGAAGAATAGTGTCCTTTTTGGTCCAAAATAACCCCATGTTTGAAGTTAACCACCGTTATGTGTTAATATTTCGCAGTTACATTGATTTAAATGCACCTTATGGCGCCAAGTCCGCTAAGATAATATCTCATTAGCGGTAACTTGAATAATAGATAGGTTGCATTTCAATCGTTTGCTTATGACCCTATTGCTTATGTCATAATATTGGCAACAAGCCAATGGAATACATTCAACAAATGATACAAATTGAACGATGAATACAAATTATGACTTCTAATTACTTAGCCCATACATAAACAGCGCAAATGACTTTCCTGTGGCGTTCAAATCATACCAACAATGGTTGCAATACGGAAACAATGAGGTAACATGTTTGTTGTTCAGAGCGATAGTTAAATTAAATTGGCTTTAAATTAAGCTGAGAGTAGTTTATACATCTCTCCAGGAACCCGTAGCTTGCGACGAAGGGCTCGACAAGCGAATTGACCTTCAGACACAGCCCACTGAGTTTCTCGCCGGATCTTCTGTCGCGTCGCGTTTCCGATTCGGTGGTAGATTCTGCGAAGCACTGCTCTAGCTAGGGCCAGTGCTAGCACCACTCCGGTTTGAGCCCCGTGAGCTCACCTACACGTTAGGGTGAAACTGAAATAGCCTCTCAAGGCTATCAGCATAAATAGGAAAAAAAAAACTCCAGGATTTTATTTCTAGTTTTGTCCGATGTGGATGCTCGTGGAGGATGAACGATCCATATTTAACCCATTAAGTTTCCCGCCAAATCTTCTCTAGCAGTCTGAAGTCTCCTGCGCGAGTCGTGCAGTCTATGGCGAGCCTTAAAGTTTGTTGAAGTAGAAATGATTACGAATATGATTATTGTATTAAGTCTATATGTGTGTGTATCACTGAATTTTGAAACTTAAAGAAAATAGGACTTATAAATAGAAAATAGGAAAAAAACCCATTAAAAAGCATGCATACGATTGCAAATGTAATATAGGTACATTTGCGATCGTATGGACTTTTTATTATTATTTATAACTAACACTACTTTCACGATTTAACCACGCGTTTAATATTGTCATTACATTGTAATTTTTGTGTGTGGCCATGTGAGATCCGCAAGGGAGACTTTACTTAACAATCGTGCATGTCCACCAGAATGTATTTAGTTTTATTTATATTCATATAGCTCTCAAAACCTGAAGTTTTTTTTTTATTGCTTAGATTGATAGACGAGCTCACAGCCCACATAGTGTTAAGTGGTCACTGGAGCCCATAGACATCTACAACGTAAATGCGCCACCCACCTTGAGATATAAGTTCTAAGGTCTCAGTATTGTTACAACGGCTACCCCACCCTTCAAACCGAAAAGCATTACTGCTTCACGGCAGAAATAGGCAGGGCGGTGGTACCTACCCGCGTGGACTCAGAAGAGGTCCTACCACCAGTTATATTTATGTTTTTCGTTCGTCACAATTCTACGAATTGGCTGATATGATTTATGTCTTTTGAGCCGTTGAAACTTACCTTGGTTCAAATAATACATCGGGGTTTCAGGCATGAAGAAGAACAGCACGCAGAAGACCGCGACTACAGCTATCCCGACATACTGCAGCGTGAAATAGGGGACGAACGGTCCCACTCCGTACACCAGCAGGAAGCCAAGCACTACGAACAGCTGAAGGAACGATCCCAGGGCACCGCGCGTGTCGTCCTAAAAACATCATCATCGGTTTTTGCGTGTTGCGAAAGCATTGATTTTATTTGACATAAGGTCGAATTTGCAATTATATATATCCAAAAATATCCTGCCCTTCAAACCAGATTGCAGGGCTGCCTCGCAGTCAAAATAGGCAGGATAGTGGGTACCCGCGCGGGCTACGATCAGTGAATGTCAATTGACGATCGCAGTACTGGTATAATGCTCAGAGAACGCTGCTGCCCATTCTTTGGTGACTCCATTGAGCCTTTCGTTACACCTTTTATTATCTCCATGGGATGTGGTGTTATTCTAGGTTACCCAGTCAAATTGTCTTAAAAACATCCTCAAAAGACGCATCCACGCCTGTGACCTAATGGGTAAAATGCCCGATGTAGGCATACCCAGTATTGCGATTATTCCGATGCTCAAATCTTGCGAACTGGGTGTTAGCTTTTTGTAAACAAATAATTAAACCGGCGAGTGGAAACCGGCTAGATATTGTGTACAGTGTGTGCTACTAACACAGGGTGTGCTGCTCGTACGAAGCAATCGAGTGTGTGGAGAAATGAATTCATTGCTATTATATTTTTGGTGGAAGTGACATACATAATAATATGTCAACTTTATTTGATAAGCTGCTGGTAACTGGTACATACCGTGGCGATCTCGGCGCAGTACATCGGCAAAACCGTATACAGCATACCGACTGCCAGACCCCAGAACACTCTGCCGGCGTAAATCATTGCAACATTTTGAACGGCCACCACCAAAACAAAACCGACTATGAGTGGAACAGATGACAGAAGAATACTCCATCGACGACCGATTTTTGAAGCCAGGAAACCTCCGATGAATGGACCTGAAAAAGGGATCTATGTTATCTGGTACATAATATGGATTCGCAAGACACTTGTACTAGAGTCTTTCAGAAGGGAGCTTTTGTTTCTACCGCTGTAATGGAGGTAGTAATTGATGAGTTAGGAAATCGGTTTAAAATTTGAAATTAGATATGCTACAACTTCTCCAAAATCTGCGGTAGTCCTTTCTCTTGCAGCTTTCATAGCATAGCATAGTAAATTATCGGCGGTTTCTAATGTCCATAAATGCACCCTCACCGAACATAGCTCCGACGGAGAGAAGGGATCCGATCCATGATATTTCGTCGTTGGTGACGGGTCGCGACAAGGGTGTGTCGTTAGGATCTAAGAGCTTCAAGTTCACCGGCGAAGTCCATCCCAAAGCAAAACCCAGAGCAATGGTGGCGATGTTCGCTGTAAAAACACTTCTCAATTAACAATCTAAGGCAATAAGGCAATAGAAAATACCGACAAAATAAAAGCCATTGAAAATTATCATGCACATACAAAATATTTGAAACTAGCTTCATTACGTATGATGTCATTCATGGCTAATATAAGCGACGAACTAACTTTAGATTATACACAACAACTAGCCACATGTGATGTCATATACTGTGACTGGGCTTGACGTGAAACAATATAAAAAATCTTTTGAATATACTTAAGAGGCATTAAAGTCATATTTTGATTGGCTCATGTTTGATTTGAAATAAAAAAAATTGCTTCTTTCACAATCATGTTAAAACAAATACATAATAAATACGCGGAGCTAATTTATTTGAACGAATTAATATTTAAAACCGGCACGAATCTTCATATTTCTTTTTCACTGATAAAATAATCTCACGGAAACAAAGTTATTCAAATGTATATCGTTATGTAAATAATATTAGATTTTCGTGTATTAACATGTGATTTATTGTATTTAAACGTTTATGGCTGCCCAATTTTTCGTGAGGAATAGGTGGGACGTCTAAATACTCTATACTATTAATAGACCATCACTAGTGCTTGCGTTACTTACAGACATGAACTAGGGGCACAGTTAACATATTAAGGTCTTTTTCAAACTTCATTTGGTATCACAAGTCGCAAAACCATAGCGGTTTATAATCAAAGCAACGACAAAGTGTTGATTCGACGATGCTCCATAGACATTAGACCATGCATTTGGTGGGTGAAAATTATGAGATGTTGGGAGTGTTTTCTTTGGGTCAGAATATCGCCGGACTTTGGCTTAAGAGTTCAAAGCGGTACACGGCGCGGGACTTACAGAGTTATATCTCTTGTCGCTCACCAAACTTCATCTCAGATGAGTTTTTTTTTATTCCCCGTGTAGGCAAACGAGCACACCTGATGGTCAGCGCTTACCGTTGCTCATGGACATCAGCAATGCCAGGGGCAGAGCCAAGCCGCTGCCTACCGTTTAATACTCTCCACAAGCTTCGTTTGAAGAAGGAATAACATCGTGTAATAAAAATGAAACTCGCAAATTTTAATTTGCGTAATTACTCTTGGTAGGACCTCTTGTGAGTCCGCGCGGGTAGGTACCACCGCCCTGCCTATTTTTGCCGTGAAGCAGTAATGCGTTTCGGTTTGAATGGTGGGGCAGCCGTTGTAACTATACTTGACACCTTAGAACTTATATCAAGGTGGGTGGCACCACTTAACACTAGGTGGGCTGTGAGCTCGTCTAACCACTTAGGAAATAAATAAAAAAAGGACAAAGTATAGCGCTCGGGAAACATCGTGGAAGCTCATTCCAAAGCCGGATGATGCGTGGCAAACAAGATATCTGGAAGCGCACTGTGAATGAATGCAGTGGCTCCAAGTAGTATGAATGAACTCTACTCCGGTGGCGGGCGTTGCGATGGTAAAAAGGAGATGATGATGGTATCATCTCAAACAATCCCTCAGAGCGGTCAGACGAGGCAGAAATCTTCTGAGCCGACACGAGGGCAAGGTGACGCGTTTCGCACGGAGTAAAGTAGATAGAAACCTTAAAAAACCCATTTAAACTACACAACAATGCGCTTATAAAATATATTTTTAGATATTTTTTTATCAAGCTATGCTTCTGTCAAGAAATAATATTCTTAAGTATTTTACGTTTACATTTATCATATTATTGTTTCATCATAAATTTACTTTATCTTGTTTGGCGGATTTAAAGTAAGGATACAGAATTGTGCAATTACGTGGTACAAGAACAACATGGATTCTAAAAATTCGTTACTTTTTAAAGTCATCGATATTTCTTACGCAGTATTTGATATCACTCATATCACGCCTATATTTTTAGGCGGACCAAAATTGAGGGCTAAATAGATTTTTAAAGAAAACGGTAATTAGAATTTTAGTATTTTCTTCGGTTTTCACGAGTTGTAGATATGATTTAGATTACTTAAACGGCATAATCATGCATCTTTGTTTATTGTTAGTATATTACATATTTATTTACCTCGTCCGTGACCACGAAAACTCTAAAGTATTTGAAACTTCCAAACTAATATGACTATAATAACGTTATGCCATAGATAAATAGTAAAAAAAAGCCTTCTATTTTTTTAATTCGACCTGGAAACATTTGCAATTATTTGTATAATCTATGACCGGAGATTTTACGGCGCAATGTCGCATGCACGCGCCATTACGATTCACACAACAATATGGCAGCATTGTGTGGGCCGATGTCAAAGAAATTACTTCATCTCCGCTAACAACACAAGTGATGAAATCGTAAGTACCAAGTTTCATTCACGGGAGCGCGTTATTATTGTCGAAAATTCACGTATGTCAATTCAATGTCAAACGCACTCACGACCGGAAATTACGTGATTATATGTATGTATGTAAAAAAGTTAATTTGATAGTGATTTAAATTTCTTTGTATATCATTCCGAGCGAAGCTTGCTATTGTAGATAGGCAAGAGTTTTAATACAATATATTTTTTTGTTATTGCTTAGATCGGTGTACCAGCTCACGGCCCACCTGGTGTTGAGTGATTACCGGAGCCCATTGACATCTACAACGTAATACCGCCACCCACCTTGAGACATGAGTTCTAAAGCCTCACTTGTAACAGTACAACGGCTGCCCCGCCCTTCAAACCGAAACGCATTACTGCTTCACGGCAGAAATGGGCAGGGTTGTGGTACCTAACCGTACGGACTCACTATACGTCCTACCATCAGTAATTACGCAAATTATAATTTTGCGGTTTTTATTTTTATTACACGATGTTATTCGTTCATCGTGGAAGTCAATCGCGAACATTTGCTGAGTACTTATTTCATTAGAAAAAATAGTACCCGCCTGAGATTCGAACACTTGTGCATCGCTAGATACGAATTGGAATCGCTGGGAAGTAGATTTTGAAAATAACAGACACTTTACAAATGATAGAAAAAAATGTGAAGAAATTTATGAAAAAACAATTAATAAACATTTACATATTATGTGAATTTTGTAACACATTATATAAGACATTATATGCTGATATTTTTTATCGATATTTTATTACCACACAACGCGTCTAAGATAGCAAGATTATAGCACGATTACCTATGACAGTTTTATCAGATTAATTTATATGAATTCCACAATTCAATACCTATATAGTTAATGCTATTGTTTTGACGATTTGATATGAAATTTTAATTGTTGAAGTGTTTGAAGGTAGTAGAAGACCATCTATTTGTATTTCTTTATGTATTTAAATCATCAAATGAAAATATATTTTTAGACGTAACAAAGCATGGCGGATTTCGTTAAAACCAAATCCGCCATGTTGGAATTTTGCTGAATTCGAATTTGGCATCGTAATTTTCTGCGTCATTAATAGTACATTGTGCACCACGTGTTTGCCGCGCGTGCCGTGGCGGGAACGCGAGGAGTGAGGTTATGTGATTTGTTTTATTTTGTCTATTTAGTGTTTCTTCAGGTTTAAATGTGTAATAACGGTGGTTTATTAACTGTTTAATATCTGTGATAGTTCACAAATGTGGGAAAATGAAACAAAGCCGCTGGACGTAACTTCTCGGGATCCTCCAAAAAGTCCATTGAAAAAATCTCAGTAAATTACCACTATTTTACTGAGATTATATTTCATCCCATATCATCTCATCTCACTATATTTAATTTCATCCTAGTTGATTATTGTCTCAAATTAATCATCTTCATTTCACGACTATGTAAAGATGTTACTGACGTTTTTCTTTGCGCATGAATGGGAAATCGATTTGCCTCGCGTTTATTCTCCGAAAACAATACTAAATTGAATAAAGACAACGTCACATAACATGAAAATGTTATCAAAATTACATAAAACTTTTATTGACGACCTCGTAAAAGGTAATATAATTTTTATCACAGACTAACTGAAGTTTCAACTGTTTTTAAATGTGACAATTTCTTTGGACAATTATGCACGATTTCAGGCTTATAAAATAGATAAGCGGTAGCTGTCGCAGAGCAGAAAACATTTCACTGATACCTGGATTTCGCTAAAGATATTTTCTGATAGATTTGCATATATACAAGTTACGAACATATTTCGACCGTCAGTTTACAGAGAAATTTCACCAGCCCGATGAAACATCTTTACTTTGTCGTTTCTTTAGAGGCAGCAATAACGTGCTTGCAACGTAAACTTTATTAAATTTGCAAGCTTTCGAGTGGGCTTCGAGTAGAGTTGTTGGGATTTAAAAGTGCCTGTGATACCATATATGAGTCGACTATTATCAAAGCCGGCAATCTGACTTTTGGACAATGATTGGTAAATCAGAAAAACGAATTATTGACTTTGTATTCCATTGGCAGTCACAAAACTCTTCGGAACGACATCTTAGATAAATAACAGGTTAACTATTAACCTTTATTTAATGCAGGTTTTGAACCGTATTCTTTGAAGGAGACGATTATATTCAAATCAATCTGTATTGTCATATCAATAATTTTTTTTTGTCCAAATGCACATATTGCCACCTTTGATAATAGACGACTCACAGCATATGTTTCTGGTTCCGTCTCGGGCGGGAGTTGGACGTTCGAGCGATAGTTCAGAGGAGTCGTTTGCTGGATTGTCTCGACTATCTCTTAGATAAAGAGCGCGCCCTCTCGACGCGGCCCTTAGGGGACATCTATCCGGCTCACCTGACGCCTTGCCACCAATAGCAATCAATTTACCATTAATTGGCAATAAGCACACTGAGCACATCCATTTGTCGCGAGCAATAAAAAAATCGCTTACCAAATATAGCGGCCATTTTTATACACACACATAGCACATCCTTTAATACTCTTAATGAAGTAATTGTGATGAATCTCTTCCCGAGACTGACCTTACTCGTTCAAAGTTCGTCATCTGTGCTGAGAGCCAAATAGACATTTTCTGTATTATAACATGACT